AACTGGAATGGCATTGCTTCTGAGTTGTTTATTAATAGAGTCTAGTTTCAATAATTCGATTTCCACATAAATTAAGATTATCATGAACGAATTTTGTTCAAGCGGATAGAATTTATATTTATTTATTGCGAATTTCGATTTAGTGGGGTACAAATTATCGAGACTCAACTGTATTCACATATTTTAACTAGAAATATATAAAATGTTCAGGTTATTTGCTAACAACGAGGTTTCAGTTGAGTGATTATTTTTATTTATTTTTTTTTATATAAATAATCTGATATGTGAGCATTAGATTAAGCACCGTGTTCAAAGTTAGGAACGAATCGTGGTATTTATTTATTTATTTTATTTATTTATTATTAACTAGAAATAAATATAAATGCTCTTGATATTTAAGAAGTTCCAGGCAATTCATTTATATTTTATAAATTTATTTTTGCCGTTATATATTAAGTAACTTGTCTTATCTTCACATTTGAGTAAAGTCAATTAATATACATTTACATATATTATATTTCATTTTAACTAAACATTCATTAGGAATATGTTTTTAATATGATTTCCCACAGTTCCGTTTTTTTCATTAATTCGTATTCCTTTCGCTCAGAGCACTTTTTGTAATTTAAACATTTATTTTTTTGTAAACTTCACCTTTGAGCATGTTGAGTATTGCACACTGAAAAATAGACTAAGTTTACTCGACGCTCTTGCTAGGAAATTTATAACTTTTGGGGAAAACAAAAACAGCAGAAAATGAATAAAATAATCACGCGACTTATCTCGCACCTCAATTGATAGCAGCTCGTCAATGTCTTGTTGACAATGGTCGATGGATGCCGCAAATTGCTAATACGCACCGTGGGCCGCTTATCGGAGGCACAACGCAGCAGATAGCTGTCAGTCATATTTCAATTTTTGGTTCCGCTGAAATGATTTGTTATTTCACAGTTATCATTTGAAGTGTCTTGGCAAATTCCTAAATAGGAATCCGTTTGCTGCGTATTTATTAGGAAATGTCTGTCGTTCGTCAGCTGCTGCGCATGTGCTGTGGATAAAGTTTTAATAGAATTTGAGGCCACATGGCCTATTGGAATTTATGTCGATTATGTTGTCAACTTTTGCTGCCAGAAGTTTCCCTATTTAAACTTGGTGCGCGTAAAATAGACTGCAAAAACTGGCTTCCACAGAGCCAGAGAGCAGAGCAGAGCAGAGCCGAGTCGAGTCGAGTCGCGTGGAGGCTGAACTCAACTGAGCTGAACTGAGCCAAGCCGAGCCGAGCCCGGCTGCCGCTTCTAGAACAACGACGAGGCCGGAACGCCCGGAAAGAAGTTCAATTGACAACGTGACTCCACAACAAAGAAAACTCAGCGAAAGCAAATGGAGAACTTTTTCTTGCAGGTATTACGGCCTAGGCCGAAGACCGCATCTGAGCCCGATTGCCGGCTCGCCGCTGTGTAGAATTTAGCTGTAAGCGAAATCAATTAGAACTTTTGACAGCAGCTGCACCTGCAGAGGGCCTGCCTGCACGGCGAGGCATTTCGTGTGCTTGTCATGTTGCTCTGGAGTTTGTAATTAAATTTTGTCTGATTGCCCTGCAGCAATAATTTACAATTTGGCTTCATTTGAAAGGCAATTAATGTTATACTATCGCATTGATAAGGCTCTTGTCACCTTTGTGTTTTTGTTTTTTCCTTATTTTGTACGTTTCTCTTTCATTTTTTTTTAAATACCTAGTTCGGTAGTCGAATTTGACGTTGATTTCATTTTAGTGACTGTGAATCACGCCGTAAATTAAACATGAATTCATATTGACGCACATTGATTGGAATTCCGACTCCAAAAGACACTTATAGGAACTACTAAATCAGTTCAAGACCCCGGGCAATATGACATTGAGTATAAGTATAAGCGAAATGCTTGCGAGGTGGTTTGCAATCATTTTCAGTTTAGTTTTATTTATATACAATATATTTGTATTTATGTGTATGCAAAAGCGATTATTTTCTGCCACTTCAACTCATTCCAAGAAATAAGTTAATAGCTGTAGAAACAGATAAATGAGATAAGAATAATGGAGAGATAGCGCAAGAAATTTTTTAGTGAGAGTATGGGTAAATTTAAAGTTTACTATTTTGCGAACTCTTTTGGGTTTCTATACGTATAGTTGGCTATAATTAGAAAATGTTGATTATGTTGACATATACATAGAGTACTTCCCTCAGCTACACCTCCTCCTATATCTAATCTTACTTTACTTACTTTGAGCATCATTAAAATT